CCCGCCGAGCGCGCCGCCCCCGCTTCGCCGCCGAGCGCGTCTCGGGCTCCTCGTCCTCGGCGCCGGGTCGCTGGCTGTGTCGCGCTCGCTCGAGCGCCGCTCGGCATGCGCGGGAAGCGCCGGTTGGCCATCCTCAGAACGCGCGGCCGGGCTCGGCGGAAGCGCCGCGGCGGCTTGGGACTCCCTCTCCGTCTCCGAGCCCGACTCCGGGCGGAGGACGTCCCGCGACGCTGTCGGCGCTGTCTCCGCGTCGAACGCGCGCCACCGTCGGCTCCGCTCATCCGCGAGTGCGGTCACGGCCTCGGCGCACATGCACACGCACAAGAGCCGGGCCAGGAGGGGCATGATGTCACGGTTCCGTTAAACCCAACACCGACCGGAGTCCCACGGCGCGTCAGCCATGTCAACTTTGTTTCGGGATTTAAAAAAAACAACAACAACAAAAGAGGCTTAAAACGTCAGTCGAAGCCCTTCGTCTCCTGCGTTCGAAGTGAAGAAAGTCCTCCGATGAGGGGGTGGGGGTGACTCTCAGCAGGCAAGCCGGTCAGGGCGACTCAGAGGTCGGCGCGGAGTGACGGAGGAGCCCTGAGCGACTGAGGGTGCAGCGGGGGCGGACCCAAGGGGTGCTGGGGGTAGTGGGGGCCGGGTGGGCGTCGCAACTGTCCGAAACGTGAATCGGACCACAAGACAGACGACTTCCGCGTTGTTCTCTTTGTAAAAGAAAATGTCCTCGTCGTAAATTGCCAATGAATCGTTTTCAGGGTAAAGCTTAGGCCACTAGAAACAACTTTATTGACTGAACGGGCAGCGGCTTAATTTACGTCATATTCGAACATTTTCACCTGTCACACAAGTGTAAAAAGAAGTTAAGCAGTGTACAAGTTATTATTCCTGATCGAGAGTTATCGTATTTCTGTTTTGGCCATTTTTACTTTCTGTATGTCCTGATACTTTTATGCACATTTTCTTCACTTGCCGTATGTATCTGAATAATTGTGTGCAAATGCCACGTTTCCCCCGCTTTTCAATTGGAGCGTCCTAATAATTTTGCCCAAAAATGGCATTCCTTCCTGAATGTGTCCCATTCATTTAGTCCAAAACAGATTTTCACTTCCTCTGCGCAATTCCCATCCTTGTCCCAAGACTTTTTGCCCATATTGACCTTTGTTCACTTCCCGTTGTGTCCCGACACCTTGCCCATTTGTCACATTTTCTTTGCTTTTTACTCAAAACGCAAAGCCAAAATGACGGTAAAAGATTCTGCAAGTTAGAGCTGTCTTATTTTGAAGGCCGGCAACATGATTAACAGCAACTGAATTATTTTGAAAGGGTCCTCTTAAATGTCATTTTTTTATATAAAGATAAAATAAAGCCCGAGCGAGTCTTATGGGCTCGTGTCTTTTTGGGTCAAGGCGTTTTTGACGCTGGTGTGACAGATCTGGTAGAAGGTTTGCCGGCTTTCGACGTCGGTAGCCCGGTACGCCGCCAAACACAAGTCCAGCCAGGGCCGTTCACCTCCGGCGCCCTTCGGCGGACAAAGGGAGTCCATCGTTCGCTGGATCTGGTCCTGAGCTTCCTGATTGGTTGCGGCATCGTCCGCCGACACGTCGAAAAAGGATTCCTGATCAAAAGACACCCAATCATGAACTGGCGGGTTGCCGCGCCGCGCCAGGCCAGGCCGCTCCAACTGACCGCGTCTCTCCAAAGGAAGACGTCCAGCGCGTCGCTGGCGTCCTGCAGACGGAACTTGAGCAGCAAGACGAACTTCAGCAGTTGAACGCCAAATGCTGCGCGGCACAGAAAACATCGGCCAAAGCCATCGGGACAGCCGCTTTGACTCAAGGAGGCGACAAGTGAGGAAAAGTAGCAAAAGTCCAGAGTGGTGAGACGTGTACGGGAAGTGAACGGTGAAGAAACTACAAGGATGGTGCGAAACCTGCACACCGACCTTCTGCGATGATCTTCTCGTCGATGATTTGGTCTCTGCCAGTTGTCGGTTCTCTGATGGCGGCGCCCTCAGAACATCGCTTACAGCTGACACACACACACACACACACACACACACACACACACACACACACACACACACACACACACACACAGGAAGTCACCAGCCGGTTATGATGACGAGGTGGCTGACGTTGTGACGTCTGCAGTCCTGACCCGTAGAACCTCCTCTTGCCGCGAAAAAGGAAGGGCGCGCTCAGGTCCAGCAGAGTCGGATGACATCCCGGCGCCGAGTGGACGGGGACCACGTTGCGGTACGTGCCCGCGAGGTGACGCGCTTCCTCGAGCGTGGAACCTGGAGAAACATTCAAATGACACTTTGCATGATCACAGACAAAAAATGTAACGGCAAAAAAAAGTTGGAATACATATGTGTGTGTGTGTGTGAACGGTTGTTTGTCTTTGTGTGCGCTGCGATTGGCTGGCGACCAGTTGAGGGTGTACGATGCCGATTGCCCGTAGACAGCTGGGAGAGGCTCCTTTCATTTCGTAAACGTCAAACGCAGTTTCAGTTCCTCTTTTGCATTTTGAAAGTGTTTTTGTTTTGATTTCATCAAAGAAAACATTTTTTTGGGGGTGGGCGGTTTAGTTGTGGTCCATGTGCTCCGACCACTCGTTACCCGTGAGGAAGATGAGCTCCTTGGTCCTCCCCTGGGACATGAGTCGCTCCGACAGGTGAACGCCGAGCACGCGAGCGGGCGGTCCCTCCACCGGGTCGTAGCCGGGCAGGTAGACCCGCCCCGAGCGGGACCAGGGCGGCGGGCGGGCGGAGGGAGCGCCCAGGTCGACGCCGTAGCCCTCGGCGAACACGCTCGCCAAGCGCTTGTCGTCGGGAACGTCCTGCCTGGTGGGCGGCGCCATTTTTGGGGGTAAGCCGATGCGCGGAAATAACTCCCAACCAATCAAAATGCTCCGCCGGCACGCGAGCGCCGCGCGTGCGCGCCGTACATGGAGGTGCACTTGCTGCAGTAGAGTTTGAGCGCCCGGTGGAGTCGACGGGGCTCGTAGGATCGTAGCTGGGCTCTGACGTGATGAACGCCGGCGGGCTCGCCACGCGTCAGCTCGCCCAGAGTGACGGGACGAACGTCGTGCTGACACCTTCGATCCACCGCTGCACGATTGTGTTTCATACCTGTGCTGAACTCCACTGAAGCCCCACCCCCTAAAAACATGAGACAGAGAGAGGGCATCGCGGTTATTTGACTTCCAAAAAGGGGCTGTCCAAGATTTGCTCAGAAAATGGATGAAGACACCTCGGAGCTTCTTCCAAGTATGACAAATGCGCATGCGTGCTTCTCATTCGCGATTTGTCAGGCGAAGTGAGACAAAAGCTTGTTGTGGCCAGCAGAGGGCAGCACACATCTATGAGCTCAATCGAGGGGTGTCCAAACATTTGTCGTCCGCATTCCTCCAAATGCAAGGGGGCCGCTTTGACGTTGCACAACTTTCATGTGTCGATTGTGATGAGGCAAATTGTGAAAGATTTTTTTTTCTTTTTACTTTTAAGATTTGGGTGTGGCCAACGGCCCTGCACTCGCACTCGACTCGAGACGCCCTTGCACTGAAATCACTTTCAGCCTTGAAAACCAAAACAAGAGCAAACCGTCGCAATCCGATCTGTTTTTCAAACACGTGCTTGCGGATGATTAACGACGACGATTTTTAGAGCTGTGGAAAAAGCGCAACGATTCGTTTTGTAAAATGAAAGGCAAGACAAAAAGAAAGCCGATTTTCCCCTGCCATCGCGACGCTTACCCGGAGACTTCGGAGGCGTGTTCCAGATTTCCCACATGGCGGAGTCGTGCAGTTCGGCTTGCGTCCCCTCGTTGCTTTCCCGGAACACTCGCATGACTCTGCGCGCAAAGCAGGAAGGCAACACAGACGCTCGACGCGGTGGGCTCATCGTGCCACTGGGCGGAGAAGGCGTCCAGACGCGGGCGCGCCCCGCAAAAGGTCACCTCCTGAGCTCCCGAAGGTCGGGGCTGTCGTCGGGCAGACGGCGGACGCCCCTGCTGTACGCCGTGCCGCCGTGCAGGTGAAAGGAGAGACGGTCGACCTCCTCGGCCCGGCCGCCGCTCCGTCCCGGGATCTTGACGGAACCCACGATGGCTCGCAGGTTGAAGATCTTCACAAAGTCTCCGGGCTGGCGCGGGACAGAACGATGAAACGGCGCCAGGTTAGAGGTCAGACGGGACATTTCAGAACGGTTGAAAGCGCCCATGAATTTCTCCTCTCCTGAGGAAATGCACAAAGCGGAGCCAGCGTTGCGTCTTCCTCCCCGTGGAGCCCAGCAGGGGGCACTGTTGCATTAAACTCGGCAGCACCCCACCCCCTCCATGTTTGTCACGAAAAGCCCGAAGATGACAGAAAGATGCCTTCCTCTTCTTCTCCGTCATCCTCATCACGGCGACGACCTCGCTGCCGTCGGCGTCCCGCATTCAAGGAAGCGACAAACATACGCGAGGTGCACTCGCATCAAAGATGAAGAGCGGAAGAAGAAGAAGAAGAAGAAGAAGACGAGCCAGTCATCTCCGGCCAAGCGTCACTCACGCCCGTCGCCGATGTCGATCGGGGGAGGCCGAAGGCTTTGCGGCTGCGGTTCCCCCACTCGGCAGCACCCCACCCCCTCCATGTTTGTCACGACGTGCCCCAACATGACGGAAAGATGCCTTCCTCTTCTTCTCCATCACGGCGTCAACCTCGCTGCCGTTGGCGTCCCGCATTCAAGGAAGCGGCCTCCCCCGCATTCGGGGGAGGCCGAAGGCTTTGCGGCCTCGGCGGCGGTTCCCCCCCGAACGCGAACGCTGATCGTGCGTTCGGCACCCCGGTCCTTCGGTGGCGACTTCTGTCACCGTCGTGTGACATTTGCAGACAGCCCGACGACAACATTTGGAAAAACGATTGGTCGCGGCACCTGGCAAGCGGATGGAGTTGCGCCTCCAAGAGTGAAAACGCCGTCGGGACGGGACGCAAAACACACTTTTATTCAGGGTGCGTTCTTCCGCCGCGTCTGCGGAGAGCAAAAGTGTTTGAGGGGCTGAGTGACAAGAGAAAAAGCAGCCCAAAGACTCCCGAGGGGGTCAAATCAAGACTGACCTTTGCGAAAGATAAAACAACTTCAGAGAGAAGCTCAAGAAATGAGCCTGGCTGCTTGAGAATTTTTCGGGGGAAGCCAGCAGTTCATTTTGCACGCATACGGCGGCTTCCCGATGCCTTTGCGTCAGCACGGGCGGCGCCGCCGCCGCGGCCGCCTTTCTCGGGGGAGAATGACGTAAAAAGCCCAAAGACTCCCGAGGGGGTCAAATCAAGACTGGCCTTTGCGAAAGATAAAAACAACTGCGGAGCCGAGAGAAGCTCAAGAAACGAGCCTGGCTGCTTGAGAATTTTTCGGAAGCCCATCCGGCTCGCAGCCGCGCATTGGCTTGCTCGGTGCAACGACTTCGGAAAACAACAGGCCGCCGCGCGACACCCGGCAGCGGTCGATGACACAGAAATGCGGAGTTCGCTCCCATCAAGCGTGAGCGCTAAACTGGAGATAATGAGCGAGAGCCGGGGGGGTGCGGCGCAGCCGCGCCAGGAAAGAGAGACGGCGCGAGAGAGAGCGAGAGCGAGCGCTCTCGGTGTTGACGATTTGTTGTTGACAGTGATTGTGTTGATTGAACATTTGAAGAAAACAAAATCTCCGAAGGAAGCACGCCTGCAGAATATGGTTGGCGGCTGTCTCCATTCACTCCTTCGACTTGGTCATCTTTTCTCACGATGGCAACACGCACACGCTGTGCCGATCCCACCTCGGTCTCAGGCGGCAGCTTCATTTACCCGCCGAGGCTGCTCGCCGGCATCCCTGCGGAGCTCCTCGGACCGTTTTTAACTTAACGCGATCTACAATGCATCCACTAGATGGAGCTGCGCTCCTTCCGCCCGAGAGGCGTTCATGACCGCCTCCGAAAAAAACGTAAATTAACGATTACTTCAACGGAACTACGAAAATTGAAAAGAATGCATCAAAACAGAAAATCAAGCGAGGAAATCACAAAATAAATTCGATTGCCTGATCGCCATTTTGGGGGTTGACGTATTTCTGTCATGACCATACACAAGGATGACTTTTCTGCTGCGCCTTATAGTACGGAAAATAAGGTACGCTTTTTTTTTTTTGAAAAAAAAAAAATAATAATAATAAATAGCATTGGTGTCATTTTCCCGAATATTTCAGTCCTTTTTTTTTTCGAGGAATGTCCCAGGCGTGCTATGAAGACGCCTGGGAACTCTTTGGGAAGTGCAAACAAGTATGAGAACAACAATCGACAAGAAGTCTGCACACTTGATTCATTTGACAGATTGTTATGGGCGGGCGTTGCTGTTTTGGTGGGCCACCGTGCGTTTTTTTTTTTTTTTTTTTTTGGGTGGGTGGGAATGCTAACCTTGAGCTGCTGGGCGGACTGCGCGTGATCGTCGTACACCAGCACGTTGACGATGAGCTTCTCCTGCTCCTCGGCGAAAGAGGGCGGCCCCTCCACCACGTCCGAGTCCACCGTCACGTTCAGCAGAGCGTGCGGACATCGGGTGCCGTCCCACACCTGCGGGGAAAAAACAACAACAAAAAAAAAAAACACTTGGTGACAAAAGATGATGATGGCATCGGTTCAGCAAACGGGCCCAAGAGAAAATGGACCCCCCCCATCCGTCCCAAAAGCCAGTTCAACTTGACAAAATGAAACGTGGATGACACGCAACAACCTCTCGAGGAGCTGTGCCTGAAAAGACACCGCAAATCTGTCATGTCGGCTTGAGGCAGACGCGAGAAGATCCCTTCCCCCGTGGAATGTCCCAAGAGACGGTTCGAAATTGGGTGGGCAGGAGGGGGGAGTAGGTGGGGGGGCTACCTTACCCTGAGCAGGGTGCACCTGGAGTCGACGGGCGCTTTGGCGAGCAGCTGGCAGGCGAGGTTAAAGTACATTCTGGGCTGGACGCGGGCCAGCGAGACGGTGGGGTCCGGGGGCAGCAGATCCCGGCCGGCCGCCCAGGAGCGCAGCTCCGTCACGATGCGCCGATCCTCCTCGGAGAGGCGGCGGGTGGGGCCGGAGCCCCGCGGCTCCACCTCGGCGCCCACCGTCCCGCTGAAGGCCAGCGCGGAAAAGCCGTAGGTGGTGATCACGGCGGCTTTGCGATTCCTCCCGGGCCGTACGTAACCTTGACTTTGTGTAAGCGCACGATGTCGCCGATCTGGAAGATTTGCGGGTGCCTCTCCGGTTTGGCGGAGAAGATGTTGCAGCTGACCTTTTGCCCCGACTGATCGCTGATCTTCAGGAAGGAGCAGAGGTCTGCGCAGAGGAGACAACAAATGCCGCACGGGGGGTGAGATCGCCGTGGCGCGCGCGAGACCGCATCGCTTCCGACGTCGTTTGGAAACGACTGCCGCCAATCGCCAAAAACAAAAAGACATCGCAACTGGCGCGTTCGCCGTCAAATGATGCCGATTTTGGCGTCCGTTTCAGTCGTTTCGTTTCGAAGGCCGCCGGCGCCGACCTGAGCCGCGGCTCTTGAAGGGCTGTTTGAAGAAGACCACCACGCCGTACACGTTGACCACGGCTCCGGGTTTCAGCTCCCCCAGCTTGACGTACGTGCACGGCGGCGCGTCGGGAACCTGCGCGGGGGGCGGATAAGACGGGAACAATCACCAGAAAGTCGGCTCGCCGAGGGTCGACGATCCGGCAGCTCGATGTGCTTCTGACCGCAGTAGGGGGAGGCGTTTTTTTCTTCTTGGCTTGTTGCGGAGATGCGAGCTGACCGGGCGGGCGCCGAGACACCTGAAGCACCGAAGAAACACAGACGGAGTTGGTTGGTGACGAGTCGCGGGCAACATGCGACGCGTGTGACGTTCAATCTCCGCGAACGGACGACATCGTCGGAGCGCTCACGCGGACGAAGGCTTGCTCTCCCGACAGCAGCAGGTTGCACGAATGACGTTTGTCCTTCTGCGCCGTGGGAGACTTGCCCACCGCGAAGCCCGAGGCCGTCACCACGTCCTGGCGGGAAACACGAGACGGAGAGCAGATTGTGCCGCGTTTGCATCTTTTTTTTTTTTTTCCTTCGCTGCCACGGGGAAGAATTTGCGGGGGCGGATTTACGTGACAGATGTGACACACTGACAGGTTTGAAGGAACTCTCCGGAAACAACCTGAAGGAGGGCGTCTGTCGGCAAAAGTGCCTGTAAGCGAGCGATAATCGCTCCGGAGGGAGCCCAAGTCTCCCAAGGTCATCATTGGCCAGTGATGAGGAGGATCGATCGGCCGGCAATGGGACGTACCCCTTGATTGACAGCCTGGCAGAAGTCGCTGGCCAGCATCCCCAGCAGGACCAAGTTGATGGACGAGGCCTCCTTGGGTCCGGACTTCTCTTCTGACAAGCGCAACGCGGCGGCCGAACACACAAGCCCAAGTCAGTCGAGCCGCCATCCAAAGTCAAGTCCGGGTTCGTACCTTCAATGACGGCCTTCAGAATAAAGTCGTGACTCGGCGACGACACCAGCGGCCCTTTGTGGACCACTCGGCCCTGGACATGCGCGCGCACACACACACACAAAATGTCGCACAAATAGTCTTGGACTGAGCGATTAATGGATTGCATCTTTTTTTTTTGGGGGCGGGGGGTGGTCTGTAAGACTGCAAGCGGTTGCCGGGGCGACCTCACCTTGACGGAGTGGTGGCTGTGGTTGCCGTCGGTGCTGATGTCTGTGATCGGAACGATGGTCAGGTGGCCGCCTGGCCCCGCCCCTTCCGCCAACACGATGACAGGCATGGCGAGGGCGGCGGCCTGGAAGGGGAAAAAAAACAAAAAAAAAACACATCCATCAGTTTTATCATGTCTCATTTCGGGGATGATGTTTTGAGGAGGGCTTGTTAAAAATCCGCAATTAGGAAACTAAGCGAGTCTTTTGGCACCAGGCGGGCGAACGAGCGGACGGGTCATTCCCCTCCCGCATCTCGCAACAACCGCCAGCTGACTGCCACGTGCCCGCCAGAGATCGAAATTCCCCCAACGCCACACGGAAACATTTCGAAGCGAGGAAGCCTTTTTGGATTCGACCTGAAGCGTCTTCCGCAAACGGCCAGAGCCCAGCTGCCACCATTTTGGCCTTTGCGCATTCTCGTCACCCGAATGACGCACGCGAAAACCAACACAGACAAGCCTCGGTTTTGCAGTCTTCGGTGCGCCCACGTGACGTCTTATGAGGAAACGAGCTGAGCACGAGGGGGGCAAGTGTGTGTGTGTGGGAGAGCAACCCAGGAATGCGTTCCCAGCAGGTAGCGCGTGGCTGCCTGTCACAGTCGCTTAGCTCAAGTGTGAGCGTCGTGTGGCGGGAACAGGCTGCCGGGCAGACGCCGCGTTCGCTCGAGCGGAAATGCCAGCCGGAAACGAATGGGATGAACCTCGGCGCTTTGGAGTGCGGCAGAGGAGCCCGGCGGGGCCGAGTTCAGAAGAGGAAGGAGTCATTCGAGAGCTCCGAGCTGAGCGACGTTCCCTGACTTTGACCTTCCAGATGCTACGCGTCGCTCTCGCTTGCTTTGGCTTGAGTCGGAGAGAAAAAAAAAAAAAAACAACACACAAACTCACCCAAAGTGAGGGCTGCATCCAATTAATCAATGTTAGTGTTTTGGGGTTTTTTTTTTTTTGGTGCATGCAAATACTTTCTCTTTTTCATCATTTTTTGCTGCTGTAAATTGCGAATTTCTCCATTGTGAGACCATTTTTTTTCTTCTTAAGAATTAGGTGGCACTTATTTGTCAGAACAGAAAAGTGCACATTTCATTTCCGGGCCACATAGCGCAGCTCTGTTGGCCTTAAACGCCAACATTTGCGCCAAGATAAAAGAATACGATGGCACATAAAGCAAGTGAACATTCTCTCAGCCCGACGCTCAAATGCGAGCGGGTACATAAACCGTTTAAGCGCCTCATCTCCATTTCCATGCTGTCTGCGAAACACAGATACGGTATTTTTATTTATTTTTTCTTTATCCGTGTGTTCCCACACATCAGCTGTTTTATGTGCTTACCTTCAGGTCGGAAACATGGTCCAGATCCTCATTGAAGAAGAAGAAGAAAAAAATCCTCTCAGTGGGCGGCCAAGCAAGAACCTCAAGACAATGACACATTGTGCACCTTCCATCACCTTGGGCTGGCCAATATGGCATTAAAACATCTGAGCACCCCTACCCCCCCACCCCATTTTAGGGTTTCAATGTTATCACCCCACGAAGAAAAAAAAAAAAAGCGAAAACAAACAATGGCATTTGTCAAAACAGGTTTTGCTTTTCTCTAGGGCTGCACCGAATGATATTAATCATCAATTAATTTGTAGATTATTTTGTCAATGAACAGTTGAATGAGATTTTTTTTTGAAAATCGCGTTTTAATTTCCATCTCGATATTCAAATAAAGGGCATTTAGTGCAAAAATTCACAAACATAAACCAATGAAGATTCAGTTACTGGTTTCGTCCACAAAATGTCAGAAAATGGGCAAAAACGTCCATCTTTGTTTTCCATAGTGAAAGCAAAGTTTGATGACGCCTGCTTTCATGAAGGACTGCAGAAATTGGAAAATATTGAAATTCTGAGGACTTGGACAATTTCAAGTCTCCAAACGATGATATGATGCTCAAAATAAATCAATTTGGGAAACAAATAATCATTGCGACTTTAATTCCCCCCCCCCCTTCTGGATGTTGCCACTTCGCGGATTTTCGTTTATCGCAGGTGGTTTTGGTCCCCATTAACCGCGATAAACGAGGGATTACTGTATACGCAAGAGGTTCCATATCGCACATTTTTACGACCGCGCGCTGTGCACTGTCCAATTCGGCCCGCAGAAAACAGCGACGATGAAATCCATTTTCGAAGAAAACCTTAAAGAGAGTACAGAACACTGAACCGTGGAAACGGAGACGAGGCGACGTGACGAACAGGAACCCTTGTTGTGCTTTTGTCGAGTTCTGGGGCTGCTTCGAGTACGCACCACGCGTCGACTATCAATGTGAAACACGAACAATTTCAAAATAACGGCCTATTCGAGATAACTGCCCGTCGAGTGATGAAACGCAAAAGCGTTGGGATTTTGCATGAAGTCCGGCGCGGGCTGCACCGTGACACTAAAGGGTCGCACAAAACAAATGGCTCACGAAGCTGGCCACACTCGCTGAGCAGTTATCCGAAAGTACGAGAGGTGGCCATCGGGAGTAATACTCGAGTGACAAAACTTACCTTTTACTTCGTATTTCCCTCGCGTTGTTTTCGAACTGGCAGGATGTTAAGATGCGCATGCGTATAAGGAAAATACGGAAGCTGCACAAATGCGCATGCGCGAGACATCAACGTCAACTTTCGCCAGCTTTGCTTTTTTTGTTCGCGCGACAAAATGCAGTACGTTTGCTTCGATGGCGCTCTTACAACAGGCGTAACTGTAAACAAAGAGCTTGACAGAAATGTCAACGTAAAATAACAATAATACAACAGAGCACAAGAAATGTCAACGTAAAATAACAATAATACAACAGAACACATCAAAAATAATACAATTGCAACAACTGCAATCACGTCAAACATCAACAATAATACAATTGCAACAACTGCATATTACGCCTTTATCAAAGTTTAACTCATTAAGTTGATGTCGATAATCAAAAATATTCAAAGCACTTACTTGGCTAAGCATCTTTACCCTGTAAAGCCTGAAACAATAAATAATTATGCAATACAATTCTAATTGGTTGAAAATACCTCTCATACTTAACAACAAGGATGTCTTGACCTTGTCATGTTTCATTACGCAAAAAAAAAAAAAAAAAAAAAGCAAACGCTCTGTGAAGGCGGTGATGGAATGGATCATTGTGTGTGTGGGGGGGGGGCAGCGGGGGGGGGGCGCAATATGAATTCTTGAAAGCCTTATGCTTTGGCGCTTTCTTAATGCTAAAGTGCGTTCCTCAGCGCGGTGACGAGCATAAAGCCTCAGGCTGACACGAGCGAGGCCTTGATGCGACAAGTGGTGCGGAGAGAACCGGAGCGCATCGGTGGGCTGCGCGGCCTTGCGCCAAGCGGGTGCGGGGGCGTGAGCCGTGTCAAGGCTTCGAGGCACAACAAAGGCACACGAGTAAATTCTTCGCTGTGTTAGTCAATCTTACTCCCCGTTTTTTTTTCTTTTCTTTAAGTTTAGTCCATAATTCCCTAAAAAAAAAAAAAAAGCCAGTAGCCGGTCTCTAATTCCAACACGATTTACAACTGATGGTGTCAGAATCTAACGAACAGAAGAGTTGTGCTTAACGAGAAGCTTTGCGGAGACTTTCCTACACGTTCAGAAAGAGGGGATGGTGGGAGGTGGGGGGGCTCTGCTGACAGATATTCTCCTCTCCTCTTCCCGTCATCTTCATCCTTCATCTTTCCTCATCCTACTCATCGGCGTCGTGTTCCAGGCACACGGAACCTTTGGAAACTTTCTTGACAACAGATTGTGTCACCATCTGCACTTTTGCGCACTCCGCTAGCTACACACGTCGAGAGGATTTTTTTTCCTTTCCACCAAGGGTACCATGACACGGTTTCAAAGTTGGATTATTTTTTTTAATATTCAAAAGTATCCTTCTTTTTTTGTAGTATTTAACTAAAGTAAAAACATTTCAAAAATGTTTTTTTAAGGAAAAACGTTTTTTTCTCCTTCTTTTCTTATTTCTTTGAGAAATTTTACAGTGTAAAAAAAATTCAAGATATTTTTTTCTGAAGATAAAATCATCGTTATAAATTTGAGAAAAAATAAACCATTGTTATAACTACATTCTTTTTTCAAGAAAGTATTTAATAAAGGGCAATCTTTTTGCATAATCTCATTTGTTCAAGAACAAAGTCAAAGATGTTTTTCAAAGGAAAACAAATCCTTATGGTGTATTCATCCACAGACAAAAAATATTTTAAAAAAAGATCTTTTGTGCTATTTTTTCATATTTCATCTGCACCTGTAAGCACTTCCATTTACCAACACACACACACACACACACACACACACACACACACACACACACACACACACACTAAATTATTCAGCTTGTGCGTGACAGGACAGAGTGTGTATGTGTGTGTGTGTGTGTGTGTGTCTCATTAAGATGGGTCATTGGTGCCTACAGGGACCCTTTACAGTGGGGGTGGGCCACGGTGAGGAGGGGCACTGCTGTGTGTTGCTACTTTGCACAGGTATCTGTGTGTGCGCGCACGTGTGTGTGTGTGTGTGTGTGTGTGTGTGTGTGTATGTGTGTGTGTATGGGGGGAGGAGGTTGGCATCTTTCTTCTGCACTGGGAGTTGAGTGAACTGTGAGACGACCTAGCAAGTCTGAAGCCTGCAGACCACCTGAGGCCCCCCCGCCCGCAGCCCAATTAGGAACAGTCACACACAAGCTGAGACCTCCCACACACACACACACACTCATGCTGTGACCACGGGAGAAGTACATAAAAAAATCATAAAACACACACACACACACACACACACACACACTCATGCTGTGACCACGGGAGAAGTACATAAAAAAATCATAAAAATAAAAAATTCTGCAGTGTGACCCCGAAAATAGAGCCCAGGCGTTTTCGAGCATTTGGGGAGGTCTCTGCTAAAAGCGTGGACTCGTAGGGAAAAACAAAAAATTGTTTTGATCCTTTTCCGATCTGCAGTGCAACACGACTTGTTTTCACCCGAAACGCCAGTTTCTGCACAAAAAGCAGAGAAAACGCGCGACTTGGTGAAAAGTAACAACAGTGACTTTGATGCTGATGTTTTTGGTGGTTCGTCGGGTTTGCACGACTTTGGATCTTGTTAGGTTCACACGAACAACACAAGTCGAGTTGTCCCTGACGGCGTCTTGACAAGATGGCTTGTCGAGATACGGACGTAGCGAGTTAGCTAAGCGCGCGTCGCGGGTGCCCCGGATAAGCAGATGGTGACCCCAAATGAAGGCGCTAACAATTCTTCCGACAGGAGTGAAGGGTGACTCGTGCAGGACTTCAAAGCTCACCACGCAGCACCGTTTTGGCCACACCCTTCTCGAGATTGGAGTCCGACAACCTTCTCAGTTTTCAGGGGCTCGCTGGTTCACTTCCAGTCTGTGAGTTCCAACTTTCTTCTTGTTTGACTTCCTGCGTTTCTTCTTCAGGGCGAGCAATGTGAGCCGAGTGTGGGAAAATCAAGTCTGGAAGTGGCCGAGCTTCACCAGCTCTGCCGGGAGATATTCATGACATGCCTGAGGAGCTCCCAGCGGCAGCCCGTATTGATCCGACGCTCCCGTTGCACCGCCGCCATCGACCGTATCGATTGGGTCGCTCGTCCTCGTCTGTAACGAGGCACACGGCGCGCTCAGCTTCCTGCCGGCTTTCTTTAAGGTCAAGTCCAGCTGCTTCCGCTCCCTCTTTGCTGGGACATGGATGGGGCGGAGGGACAAAAACTCAGATGATGCAGATATGAGGCAGTGCCAGCTCACGCGAACGTTAGCGCACGTCCAACGGTAGCAGCAGCAAGAGTTTAACATAACCAATGGACACATTGAGTGACATGGACATCCCATCCTGCGGACTTGGGCCCCCTGGCTCCTTATCTTAAGCCAACAGTCTCCAACTTGGGTCTTCAACTGGAAAGTGATTTGAAATTGGAGCGGCAAACTGGCGCCATTGTTCAATGCAGCTTCTTTCAATCTTAAGTCAGCTGGCTCAAGCCTCTCCTTTTTCCAGTGGGCAATTTTAAAGAGTCGTGCGTACCTTCGTCACATCTCGGCCGGATGCACTTGACTTTGGAGTCAGCCAATCCTCCATCGAATGTCTCCAGTTGGTCCCGAATGCCGCCGCTCGCCTCTTGACGGGTACTCGTAAGAGGATCACCGGACTAAGTATTGAGATGGATCCATTTCTGGCTTGATTGATCACTGCCTCGATGGATCACGGCAAGGGGAGGATCACGAGAAGAACCACCGCGTGGCTTGGTCCCGAGAGGGACGGATCAACGGGTCGGATTGGCACAGTGGATTGTTGGCTTAGCCGTCAACGTTGCGGTCGAAGCAAAGTCGGAGCAGAGTGGAATCACTTTTTTTGCTTTTAATCAGAAATAGAAACCATTTGGTAAGAAAAAAACAAAAACAAAACTGCATGCATCACTCCATTTCCATTGGCACAAGTTCAAAAACGTTGACGGGCTCTTCTCAACAGAGACAAAACAAAACAAAAGAAAAACCCACCATCATTTTTCTCCACTTACAATGAGCATAACAACAAATAAGATTGGTCCCCCGACAGTTTTTTTCTTTCTTTTGACATTTTCGTCACGTGACCCTCGAGCGTTTTGGCTCCTATATTTTATTTTTTTGGGTCCCTCACTGTAAACTTCAATTCTAGTCCGTTACTCGCAGCGTTTCTGGACTGAACTGAACCGGACTCTGGAGGCGGTCCCTCAAGTCCCATTTGGCTTGGGTTCAGATGTCGTGGTTGGCGTCGCTGACAAAGTTGGCGTTTGTCGGTAGAACTGCAGAGAGAATTTTTTTTTTGGGTGCCTCAATGTAAACTTCAATTCTAGTCAGTTACTCGCAGCGTTTCTGGACTGAACTGAACCGGACTCTGGAGGCGGTCCCTCAAGTCCCATTTGGCTTGGGTTCAGATGTTGTGGTTGGCGTCGCTGACAAAGTTGGCGTTTGTCGGTAGAACTGCAGAGAGAAAACAGCGTCAACCCACGTTGGAGCAGTAGATTGAAGCATTGTATCTTTGCCAGGTGATAGCGGTGGTCTGAAGTGGTGGATTCATTGAGGCAAGTTGCCACCGAAGGTCCGGGCACCAAACGCTCGACCACAGCAAAAAGGGTTTTCGATGTGACGCGCAAGGAAGGGCGACCTTGAGCCGCCGATACCGTCGCATTGAGGTTCTTCTTTGAGATGGCAAATTGGAGCTTTTTCAAACAATCTTCCGCGGCGGATGCAAATCCCGCCCCCGCCCTCCAGTCCCCTACTCACCGACGGCCTGCACACCCGCGCACAGCTCAGTCTTCGCTTGGCCGTTGGGCCGCCCTGCCGCCAACTGCGAGAGTTTGCCGGTCGCGGTGGCGGCGGTGACGACGGCCTTGAAGCTGCGTTTGCGCTTGGGGACATTGCGCTCCGGGTGGAAGATGATGACGTAGACCTTGGGCACGTAGAGCATCCCCAGCGACACCGAGGCGCTCAGGCTGAGCGACACGGTCAGCGTGGCCGTCTGGATGTACGTCTGGGGGGCGGGGCCGGAGGGCGGTGGGATATGAGTGGCCGAGTTACGAGCACCAAGACTCCTCCTTTCATTTTGACGAGTCAATGACTGGCTGAGTCGATCGCAAGACAAAGGATCATGCGCAGGCTAGCTTGAGTGATGGACAAATGGGCGGATCGATGGGATGAATGAGGGATGGCTCGCCGGGTGCAGGGATCACCAGGTGGATCGCTCACTGGTTGGATGGATCGATAGCGGGATACAAGGATCAATCGCGGGATGGATGGACGGATGGATGCGCGCACGGATGGATCATCACACTGATACACGGCTGGATGATGGAAGCAGGGATGGATCGATAGATCAACTGATGGATGGAAAGATGGGGGCGAGATGGATCGCTGAATGCAGGGATCACCAGGTGGATCGCTCACCGGATAGATGGATCAATCGCGGGATACAAGGATCAATCGCGGGATAGATGGACGGATGGATGCGTGCGGATGGATCATCACAGTGATACACGGATCACTGGCTGGATGACGGAGGCGTGGATGGATGAGTTGATCGATAGATCAACTGTCAGATGGAAAGATGGCGGTGAGATGGATCGCTGAATACTTAGATGAGCCGGACCCATCGCCGGATGACTGGAAATCTCATTTCCCCCCCACCCCGCAATTGTTTCATCTTTTTCTTTTTTGACCGCCGGCCAAACTCACCCGCTCGGCCGACCGCGCCGTGCCGAAGAAGATGGGGATGAAGGCGAGCCAGATGATGCAGGTGGTGTACATGGTGAAGCCGATAGGCTTGGCCTCGTTGAAGGTCTCGGGCACGCCTCGCGTCTTGACGGCGTAGACGGTGCACGTGACCATCAACACCATGCCGTAAGCAAGCGAGCAGATGAGCGCCAGGTCCGAGATGTCGCACTTGAGCACCCCCCGCGCGCGGCGGGGGTCGGGCGTCCGCCGCTCGCCGTAGTCCACCAGGGCGCGGGGCGGAAGGGCGGCAAACCACGCCGACACGCCCACCAGCTGCACGCCCACCAGCGAGGCGGTGACGAGCAGCTGCGAGGCGGGCGAGATGAAGCGGGGCGCCGCCACCGCCGTCTTCCCCCGGGCGAAGATGCGGTGGATGCGGTTGGTTTTGGTCAGCAGGGCCGCGTAGCTGAAGCACATGCCGAGACCCAGGAAGACGCGGCGCAGGGAGCAGACGGCGACGCCGGGCGGCGCCACCATCGGGAAGGTGGCCGCGTAGCAGAGGAAGATGCCCGTCAGAAGCACGTAGCTCATCTCCCGCCCGGACGCCCGCACGATGGGCGTGTCGTTGTAGCGGACGAAGGTGGCCAACACGAAGGCGGTGGCGGAGATTCCCATCACGGCCACGAGGACGGGCACCAGCGCCCAGGGCGAGCGCCACTCCAGCCGGGCGAGCGGGATGGGTTGGCAGCCGCTGCCGTTGCGGTCGGGCCTCTGTTCGTACGGGCACGGCTGGCAGGAGAACTGGCCGGCCAGGAAGCGGTAGCCCTCGCAGCGCTCGCAGTGCCAGCAGCACGGCACGCCCTTCACCACCTTCTTGCGCTCGCCCGGCCCGCACGGCACGCTGCACCGCGAAGCGGGCGGGGGGGCGCCGATGCTGTCCGAAGAGGCGAACTTCAGCGCCGACATCTGATGAACAGGACATACGCATATTTGGATGATGATGACGATGACGAAGATGAGGAAGGCGGATCTTACGTTGAGGCTGAGCCGATTGGTCCACTCCCCGATGACCTTGTACTCGGGACCGGAGTGCTCGTGGATCTGGTACTGGAAAATATCGTAGCGGCCGGGGGCGTCGCCGTTCTCGTTGAAAGTCACCGGCGTCCCGGCGCTTCCTGTCGGAACAGGAAGTGACTTAGAGGCAGATGACAAAATGAAACGACCACCAACACTCCCCCGGGCACCCGAACCCGCCAAAAATCGCTCTTTGTGCAAAAAGCAGCAGGTATTTTTGGTAGTCAAGGGCCGGCAATCTCCCGTCGGCTTCATAAGCCTTTCCTTGCTGATGGAAACACAGAAGCGCAGCGAAAGCTGGCCCCAACACTTCCAGGAAGTGTGATAAAATGATCCCCGTTACCATGGCGACAGCCAGCCTTGACCCCACAGCTCCTGTTTTGGTGTCATTTTGTGCGCTACGCTCGTGCATGTTTCCTGCTTTGGTAGCACGTTGCTCCACTTCACGCGCTTACGCCTGGACTTCTTGTCCCCGGTCGGCGGGGCGGGGGGAAGGGGAAAAAAAAAAATGAAGGCATGACGGCGAGCCCGCATTTTTAGCACCTCCCAGGTTAGCTGTCCAAAACAATCACGTCGCCGCGCTCTACCGCGGCTAATGCGCTAACATTAGCGGTCAATTGGAGCACACCCCCGCACGCCTCTCTAGAAATAAGCACGTGGGCGAGCAACACGGATGAATTAGCAATGAGTCATTAACGTCCGGCGCGCCTCTGTTGGTCTCGTTTGCGTGCAAAGCATGCTGGGGAACCGCCGCGTCCGGTCCAGTGACTCGGAAGGGGGGGAAGCTCCGCTCTGGTTGGCATCAATGCTTTGATGCGGCCGCGTTGGGGAAGACTCAAATGCGGCGCATGGCACTTAACAACACTCGTTCCACCAACTCTTGTTTTTGGGAATTATCGGCTGCGGGTAGAGAGTGAAAATTATGAAAACATATCAAAATGTCATGTCCTACACTGGACAACAAAACAATCACTCAGAGTGAGCTTGTTTGAAAAAAATAAATAAATCAATAAAAATCGATCTTGAAAATATATCTAAAACCGATCTTGGGCTTGGATGGAAAAAAGAAAAAAAATCCAGAAATTCGGTCATAAAAGGAACTGCAGGGATTTCTTACCAGAAATCCCTGCAGTTCCTTTTATGATTTCTGCAGGGATTTCTGGTATGACTAAATTTCTGGATTTTTTTTTTTTTTTTTTTTGGACACGGTTGTGTCCAATGTGGCAAAACAATCTCCAGGCTAGAGTGAAAAATCAACCAAAATACAAGGACATACTTGTTCATGACAGGAGCTGCAGAAATTTCTGGCAAGCACTGGCTGCTGTACTGCGATATTTTCTTTCACAAACACCGCTACAGTACGTCAGTTCAGCATGACGAGGAAAACTTGAAGTGGTCTCCTACCATTGAAGTTGACGGCACGGACGTGAGCCAGCAGCTCCCTGCCGTCGACGTTGGCCATACGCGGGCACACGCCGGCGTAGCCGGCACAAAGCTGGCGGTGAAGGCGGTCCAGGGCGTGCGCCATGGCGTACACGGCGTCCATCACAAACTGCACTTTGCCCTCCTGCTCGTACGCAGAGTCGCGGCCCACCTTCTCCAGGCCTGCCGGAACCAAGCGGAAATGAGGACGGTTTGGACGTACCTCGTGTCGCCAGGACGACGACACGCATCTCTGCCTTCCATCGATGGTTCCGGGTTTACGGTCCCGTTAGTGTGGGTACATTTTATAACCTTAACATTTTGTTCAGCCTCCTGTTTATTTTGGGCGCAATTCCAGTGTCGGCCACTAGATGGCGGCACCCTATTTTGTGAAAACAGGAAGCTGATTGGTTGACACAGAACCGGTTTACAAGATGTGACCAAGGAGCCGAGAAAAACTCGCCACCGCAATTCCCAAGAAATGGCGTCTTCCGACCAAAATGGCCGCCAAGAGGCGCGTTATACGGCGCGCGAGCCGTGCGCTGACCTGTACACTTTCTGGCCGCTCCCGTTTTCTTGCCGTGCGTCCCCAGCTTGCATCCGAAGTTTTCCTCCCAGAATTCGGCAAACCAAACGTTGCGGCGGTTGTTGGCCAGCGAGCGACTCTTGAAGTAGCGATCGAACGCTGAGACACAAAGCAGCCGCTCATTGGTTTCGCTTTTCCGCATTCGTTGTTGTTGTTGTTGCCGTCGTTCTCACCGTGGACGGACGCCCGCTTGGGCAGGATGGTGACGGCCCCCTGGGCCACCGGCTCCTGATGCAGCACGGGGGAGATTTTGGTACCCCAGCTGTCGGAGCCCACCCACAGGAAGTGACCCGTCAGGTTGTTGCGCTTGACGGCGTCCAGGAGCCGCCTGTTGGCCACAGACAAGCACGCAGGACGCAATCACCCGAAACATTTCGTGAACTGGTTGCCAGCCGATCGCAGGCCGCACACAGACAAACGACCCTTTGCGCTCTTCATGAATTTAGAGCGTTCCATTAACCTGCCGTGCAAGTTTTCGGAATGCGGGAGGAATCCCGAATACCCGGGGAAAAGCCATGCAGGCACAGGGAGAATCTCAGCTTGAACATATCGATTTTTGGAACGAATCATTCGAATGGCCTCGCCCAGGATTGCTCCCAACCGATTTGTTTGCTCAGTCGGTTTGGTGAGCGTCTCTCGAGCTTCCGTCGTCCGGCCTCGGTCACGTCGCGCGGAAGGAGCCGCCGGCCCGACCCGACGACGGCGGCAGCGGTGGCGTCGTACCGGATGTCGTCCTCGTTGGCGAAGGTGACGACGGCGCGGGCGTTGGGCGTTTCCAGCAGACGCAGGAGCAGCTTGTCAAAGGCGCCCTCTTTGGGCTCGCGGGGGATCTTCAGGGACTGGGCGATGCACACGCCACCTGGACACGCGGAACAAAGCTCAACTTTCCCACCGCAGCGTTCGAACCGAACACCAAAATCAATTACGTTTGTCAACGAATTCAAATGTTACCATAAAAAAAAAATAATAAATGCAATTACATATGGAGAAGCAATTTCACATTTTAATAGGTGTCATTATTATGACATGACTTATAGTTATTGAATTTAGACGCCCCCCTGCACGCCCCCTCCCCCCCCCAAAAAAAATATCCATTAAAAGACAGAGCAGATAGAAACAAGAGTAGTCAATGAATGAAAGCAGCCATTTTTCTTTTCAAGCGCCAAAACAGACTCACGGCAGCAGCCGACATGATCACTTCAATTGACAAAATTGGATCAGCAGAGTCAATCCAAATTGGAATCTTGATTTTCAATGAAAAGAGAAGGGAAGGGATGGACAGCGGCATCTTGAGGACTGTGTTCGGACATCCGTGTTTTAAGCCAACAGGCTCTAAGCTGGATCTTCAAGTCTCCAGTTGCTCCAAAATGCCGCCGCTCACCTTTTGACTGGTAAGAGGGAGCGCGTCCCAGTTACGCCGTAACTCTCACTCTGGCATCCCTTCGCTGGCTCCTTTTCAGAATTCTTTTGAAGATCCTCCAATTGGTTTTGTAATCTGTAAACGGCAACGGCCCCACCTGGCCTCTCGGAGCTCCTGCCCGCCGGCGTTGGCCCGTCTAACCGTCTTTGTTATTCATGTCTTGTTTCATTGTTTGCTGTACAACTTCTTTTGTGTCGACAGCGGTGGTTGTTTTTTGTCGCCGTTGTTTTGTCATGAAAAAAAAGCCTCATTTTGAGTTTGCCTGCTTTTATTCCTGCGTTTGATCGTAACGGGAGAGCTACTCGGCTTACTTGAAAGCTTGCAGCCCCTTTGGTGGGGAGGACATGACGTGCGCTTGCACGTGAAAGAATACGTGCGCGCTCGCAGACGAGCGGCGGTGAGCGTTTCCAGCTAATTGGCTCGGCCAAAGATTCCCGTTTGGCCGCCGCTAATTCTCGCCGGAAGAACCGAGCCACAACAAATCCCGTTTGGAAAAGCGCAGCCGGCGCGGGAAGTCGCTCGCAACCTTCTTAACTTCTCAGCTCGCAGGCGGCCAAAGGCACCGATCAGCACTTTTCACTTTCTTTTCTCCCTTTCTCATCAATAAGGAGCTTCAACCCCTCTTCTTGTTTGTTTGTCACCCAATAAAAAAAAAAAAAAAAAAAATGAGGAAACTCTTCTACTTGACCGCCAATAAGAAGATTTGAGTCGACTTTGTTATCGTGGCCAAGTACACACTTCTCCACTTGACTAATCTTTTTCTTCTTGGTATTTTTCTTCTCTATCCTATTTACAAACACTCGCTCAGCTTTTTTTTTTTTTATTTGTTGACACCCGCGGGATGCCTGTGAATGTCAAAACGTGATTCAAAACATCCTGCCCGGACAGTGATATCACAAAAAGGGTTTTAAAAACCTGCACATTGAAACTGGAACATTTATTTTGTGAATGCAAACACTTTGTTTTTCTTCTTTCTACCCACAATCTTGCTGCTGTAGACTGTAAATTTCCCCAGTGTGGGACAAATAAAGGATATCTTATCTTATAAAAAAAAAAAAAAAATTCATGAATTCAAATCAGAGTCTCATCAGACAAAATCAAAGGAACCCCCCCCAGCCCAAGTGCATTTTGGGGTTCACTTCAATGGACCTTGGGGTGCTCCTTCTGGCCCGTGTGCCTTTGCCAGCTGGGGGCGGCGTAACACAGACATACGGGTATACAAGGAGACGAACCAAAACTCTTCAGTAAGACGCAGAGGTGTGCAGAGGATAAAGAATATACGCCATGCCTTGAATGACATTTGTGTCATTTCTGACACTCGTTACATATCACAACCTGAATTTTGCGCCCCAACCGCCAACTCCTAAAAGCCATTCTTGGTCAAAAATGTCGAAAAGTGGGAAGTCGAATCTGATCGCCAGCCATGGATCATGACACAGGGGAGGTCATTCGGACCCTGAATGTGTAAAAGTGCCAAAACGTTTGCGCCGGGGCATCTTTTGAAGGGAATAGGCCATTTCAGGTCTTGCTTCGATGGAGATCAGCCTGGATGAGATGCGGCGGAGAACCGACACCCGTCCCCCCCCCGAGACAGAAATAACCGTGGCCAAGGCTTGCTTCTCCTCAGCCACTCGGTCCAGGAGTGAGGCCACAGAGGGTCTCTCCAGCAAGTTGTGGGGCCTCGTCTCTCGCTACCTCGCTAGGGAGGCACCCGGGAGGAATCCTAACCCGGTGCCGGCGTTCCACCGAGTCGACTGTCACACCCTCACCCATGAATGAACTTCCCACTTTATTTGCAAGGGCAAGCCGACAAAGGAAACTCGCTTGGGCTAATCTAGCCGCAATCGGGGGGTGTGGGGGGGTTCCGGTCACAACCCACACGTGACAAGGCTGAAGACGGATCAGCTTTTGGGTTCAAGGACGGATCCCGGAGTGAGCGAGATTGCGTTTGCTCTAATGTCTGAGTTGGATTAAATTAGGACGCGATTTTTTCCATCCGGCCAATCAGATCGTGCAAAGTCTACTGGCGGCTCCGCCTCCGTCATCTCACTGGAGGCAATTCCAGATCACCTTCAGAAATCCTGAGCAGAGTTGCGGGAATAAACCGTGCTTCGGAAAGGGGGTGGGGTGGGGTCAGAGTTTGATCTTGGCAAAAACGATGGTGATTTTCCGCAAGGCGGAGACAATCTTTTTGGATAACCTTCCCAGGCAGGTACCGTTGCTGGCATGCATCTTGGGGTCCTCCGAGGGGACGGGATCGTGCGGGGTCGGGCGGGCGTCGGCAGTGAGGGAGTCGATCTGGGATGTCGTCAACGACGACGACGACGACGACGACGACGACAGTTCTTCCGCTTGGCAAGGCGTCTCCTCGTCGGACCGTTTGTCCCCGGAGCACTTGGACTGGCGGCTGCAAGAAAGGCAGCAATGGAAGAAAGGATGCAGCAGAACCTTTTGGGAGTTGACCCTCAGGTTGGGATCCAGGTCCAGCATCTTCTTCACCAGCCGGACAAAGAGCCGCTCGCTGCGTCGCTGTCCCGCGGCGTCCGCCGTGACCAGCTTCAACTCATCCAGGGAGTTGAGCAGCAGAGATCTCCCGCCTTTGGGCTGGCATCCCGTCTCCTTGGCGAACTGTTCGGGCGACTTGAGCTTCCACCTGTGTAGCCCGTCGCACTCCTTGTCAAAGTACTGACCCACTTCCTTTCCGCGGTCCAGCACGTGATCCGCCGGCTGTCCCTGAGTGTTGGCGACCAAGTTCAAAACGTCGTACTCGGTCCTCCCGGGATACAGCGGCTGGCCGGCGGCGAGCTCCACGGCGACCAGTCCCAGGGACCACACGTCCACCGTCTCATTGAAGGGAATCCCCAGAATGACTTCGGGCGCCCGGTACCACAGCGTCTGCACGCAATCTCCCGGCACGATGTCCGAGACGTTTTTGGCCAGGCCGAAGTCGGCCAGCTTGACTTTGAGCGGGCGCCGGCGCCGGTCCACGACCATGATGTTCTCGGGTTTGATGTCGGCGTGGACGAGGCCCATGCCGCTCATGTGGGACAGCGCGGTGGCCAATTGGTGCACCACGGGCCGGACTTGCTGGATGGAAAGCGGGCAGTGATGCTGCATGAACTCGCGCAGGTTCTGGTCGAGCAGCTCAAAATTGAGGCAGATGTTCTCTTTGTGGAAGAAGAAGCCCTCCCAGCGCACGATGTTGCACTCGTCGGGATCCAGGCGCCACAGCTGCTTCAGAACGGAGATCTCCTCCTTGGCGTTGTTCACAGAGTTCTGGTGGTTCTTGAAAACCTTGACGGCCACCATGGCGTTGGTCTCGGTGTTGCGGCACTTGACCACCACGCCGAAGGTGCCCTCGCCGAGGACGTCCTCCACCGTGTGGACCCCGCCCAGGGTCACCCCTTTGAACATCTTTAAGTCGTCTGCGTGCGCAAACAAAGAGTGCGGACGTGTTAAAACGCTTTTTTTCGGCCAGGATTTTTCCAAACCCGAAGCTTGACTTCCCAATTATCGCCACGTGAGGTGAATCTGCACAATGCCAGAGGACGTCTGCGAAATGGCGAAACGCGTCACGAAATGCTCCGTGGGGATGTGATTGCATTGCCGGCCGGAATGATTCGCGGCCAACTGCGACGCTTCCCTCCCGCCTTGCAACGATACTTTGGTCAAGGGAGAATCGCGAGCCGTGACGCCGCCGGCCACCGTCGGAGCTGCACTTTGTTTACGGACCAGAAAGACTTTGGCTGCGACAATTTTGCCAAACAATGCTTGTTACCGGTCATGATTAAAAATGAACTTTTGGCAGGGTGAATTTTGCCTCTGTCGACATTGTGCACACGCACTCGACATGTCTTAGCATCGACATGAACAATTCCTCTCCGATTCCGAATCGTGCTCCCACACCTACCGGTCTGATTCATTTTGGGCTTTTTGCTGACGCCCGAGCCGAACGTGATGCGACGAGGTCGGGCTGGAGGTCTGACGTAATGCACATTGTTGTCCTGTTGTCGTCGTTTCCGTCGTCGTCATCATCATGCACCCGCTCAAGCTCGTTTGCACCTCAAAGACGGGGGAAGCGCGACCGCCGTCCTTTCTCTGTGACATCGCCTTCCAAAGCGCGGCGTCCGACATCAAAGAATTGATGAGCTAATCGGCCGCCGCGTCGCGATGATGTCATTGCGACGAGTTTGACATGACAACGCCGGCCAGCGCTTTGACAACTTTCGAGGCGTCGCGAGGGTCACGCGACTCACCGACACGATCGTCGACGGAAACAAAACCGCCGATGGCACGCCGCGTTTCAACCGCGAGGTCTGCGTCACATCTCATTTCAACACTAAAAGCGCATTGAGAGACACAGACGACAATCTCCAGCGACTTAACATGCTAGCGGTTGTCAGATGACTAATCCGGGTTGTCGGTCTGGAGCCAGTTAGCTCGCTCGCGGTTAGCACATTAGCCATCTTCCGTCATTTTTATCATTAAATGGCAACCAGGCAACATGGCGCCGCGGCTTTCGGCGCGGTAGCTTCTTAGCATGCTAGCCGCCGCTGCGCAATCAAGCCGCGGCGGGCAGTTAGCAGCGACTCATCAGAGCGAGAGGGCGATTGAGGCTCTCCGAGAGGGAAAATGCCAACGGCCGATAACGCTTCAAAGCCAACGAGACAAGAATATGAATATATTTACCGCAGATATATGATTTATGACGAAGAGGATTAAGAGAGTGAGGAAACTCAAGCGGAGGCCGAGTCGGATTGGAAAGTTCCCAGGGAAAAGCCATTTAATTCTATTTCCAACGCTAGTGTGCAAGCGGGTCTTTCATCCGTGACTCTTCCTCAAAGCTCAGTAACCTTCCCCGACTTAAGAGACCCTTTTTATGATGAAGTCTGTAGCTATTTTTTTGAAGCCGGGTGGCCGCAGTCGCAGTGCCTGCTAATAACTAAATAATAAATAATAATCGCCCTGTTGCAACACACCTGATTCAAATGATCAGATCATCAGCGAGCTCTGCGGAAACCTGACATCGAACCTGTTCATTTGAAGTGTGTTGCAACAGGGAGACTTGGGAAACATGCAGGACAGCGGGCCCTCCAGGACCTGAGTTTGACACCTATGCTCCAGCCCGTTAGACCATAAGACTGCGAGTAGCCTCGGATTCCAAAGCCTTAAAATTGCTAAAGGCAGCAAGACTTCTAAACAATCAGACTTTAAGACCCAAAGACCATGAGACAGCTAAGGACCACACGCCCATAAGACCATACCATCCATTACAAAACACCTTTCGATCGCTTGGGATCACAAGACCGCTAAGACCACAAAAGAACATAAAACTGCTCCAGACCTTCGCGCCCTAGGACTGGAATGACTTCTGAAGAAAAGACTGCCACCGAACCGGCCAGAATCTGGAAGACTCTCGGGCCGTAAGAGGTGTCACGTGTATTTATTTGTGGGCATCAAAACGTATCAATAGAGATCTCTTTTGGTCATAATGAGGCTGCAGTCAGCGAGTTGGGGGTCGATGGACAGCATTTCAATGAATCTCTAATTCACGTTCAAGGGCGACAGCAGACGTCGTTAGCGAGCAGACGCTAAGCGCCATCGGGGCTCATCAATAGAGGCCAGCTCATCGTGGAGAACAGCCCACGGCAAAGCTTTGATGCCGTGTCGTTAGCCGACACGCACGCACACACACACACACACACACACACACACACACACACACACACACACACACACACACACACACTTAGCCCAATATTAGCACTAAGGCGCGCACACACTCACGCACAGGGGCCGGCTGCTGATGAAAGCGTTAGCAAGTGTCCGAAAATGTGTCTTGAAAGGCACCACTGGCAGCGCTTGTCCTCCTTCATTGTGGCTTCCATGATTGCAAACGGTGAAACTGGACACTCGGCCTTACTACGATATCAAAGGCGTTCGAGATGCGTGCCAAGTCTTTACGGTGACGTCACGCGACACAACCGACAACCACTAAATGAGGTCCAACGAAACTGGAAACGGGAAACTTTGCAAACAATCATGGACGAAAGGGAACACCGGTGAAAATGCGACTGGAAATTTGACATGGTTTTTTTTGGGGGGGGGGGGGGGGGGGGGGGGGGGGGTCCTTCAAGAATCTGAGCCGAGGCCATGATGTAAAAACTCGATTGCTTCTCTTGAAATGTAAGCAGGTTTGAGATGATGCTTTCCAAGGCTCTTTTCCAAATCTCCTCCGTGTCGTTTGATCTACGGGTAGCTTCATAATTCCTTCTCAATTTTCGTTTTTTAGTGTCTTCGTTTTGTCAAGCCAACCTAAGACTTGAAGTCTGCAACACAGTTTGAGACTAAAAGCGCAAGACGCCGCACCAAAACTGACCGCAAGACTGCCCACGACAAAGACTGCAAGACAGTAAGACTACCTAAGGCCATAAAGTGGGAGCGGAAGACCGGAAGGCGGTGAGGACCGCCAAAGACCACGACACCGCTCAGGCACGATGAAAGACCGCGCCGCAATCAAACGGCTCAATATTCAGACCGTGAGCCCATGACGCCGTTGGAATGCTCAGAGAGCAAGACGGAGTCCGGTCTGCCTACCCGACTCTCTGGAGATCTGCATGAAGGCTTCGACGCCGCTCTCTCCGTAGTTCCCTTCGGAGGCCAGCGTGGAGACGTAGTTCCAGCCCATCGCCGTGACGATGTCCAGCATCGCCTGAGCCTGATACGAGTCCGGAGGAACCACGCGGGAGAAGAAGTCGTAGCGAGTGTTGTCACTCAGCTCCGGGGCCGTCGAGGCGTAGCTGATCTGAGGGATCTGCGGGGGTCAAACCACATAAAACTCATTCCCAAAAGCACTCCCGGCGTACAGTTCAAAACATGGAGTTGAAAAAAATGCTTCCCGTATGACATCGCTTTCTAAAACGCGTTGTGCGCCGTTGTGGTTCGGACGGGAAAGCTGATCAATGCCACCGCGTGACTTTTCTTGAGGGCCCAAAAATGAAATCCCCACATTTTGCAGGATGCGGACAGCCGTGACGCATCACAAAAAACGACGACCGAGCGCTCGGTTGGTGATTGTTATGACGACAAAGGCCCCGACTCGACCGCCTTGGGAAACGGCGCTGGGTTGAAAAGGTTCAACGTGGACGGCGTTTTTTGCTTGCTGGCGAGAGAGGAGGTGCCACCGAGCTTGCCGGGGAGAAGTAGAACTTCTCACACTGTGAAGAGGCGCGAAACCTCGCGACTCGTTTTCACCCGACAAGCGACACGGCGAGCTAACACTGTACGGCGTGCTAACATCGGGGCACGCCGACCCCTCCGAGGGGAACGAACACATTTTTCAGCGAGATGACGATCTGCAACAATCGCCTTGCCATCATCTCCGACTAATTTCAGAGGAGTAATGTCAGGATACGGTGCCGTCAACTAATATTTGCTCCCTTCCTGATTTCGAGATATAAATAACAATTTTAACTTGATTAATTTTTTCTTTTTTATTGGGAGATTCGGGGGGGCATCACGTCACAGCGGATGTTACGTTGCTCGAAAATAATCAAACGTGCTCCTAGTTTGAATAACCGCTCCAAGTGAAAAATCTTCATGTCAAATTGAAAATCAAAATTGTTGTGTCAGGAAGTTTTGCACCAAGAAAACTGATCCACGATTCCATGTTGATGAGAGCATGAAAATGGGAAAAATGGGAGAAAAAGAAATCAGGGGAAATTTAGAAGAGATAAAAATCTGTGATTAACTACGGCTAATTCTGAGTTAACTATGAACTTGTACATTTGATCGCGATTAAATATTTTAATAGCTTGACAGTATATATATATATATA